ACTTCTGAGATACTTTATGAGAAGAAGCAGGTTGTTTCAGCCTTTCTAAAACTGTGTACAGCCGTACCGTCAGTTATTGGTAATCACATTACACCTGAGGTATTTGTTGCAAACCTTTATCGTCCTGGCATTTCTGAAAAGGTCTTAGCACCTAAATCAAAGTGAAAATTAAGTTTACTTAATTTCCTTCAGGAGCACAGTGATTAGTACAAATAGTTGTTTTCTGCCTTATGGTTAGAATTCATATTTAAGAGCTGCCATTTGAGCTGGCTTGCTATTAGATTGAACATGTTCGATTTAATTGTTTGCTGCGCACTACTTACTATTTCAGGTGATACTGGTGGTCATGTCATTGTGTCCCATAGTTAGGTTTTGTTGAAAATGTGCACTAAAATGGAACTCATGCCTCTCAGTATTTATATATAGTGGGTTTTACTCAGAGTTGTATTAGTTTTTATAGTACCTATTTTGCACATAAGCTTCAATTGTATGATATTGGGCTGTAACACATTAGATATGATCCTAGGTAAAACACAAAGTTTTCAGCATAAGAAGCATAAGAACATATATTTAAAAACTGCACAAACTTGGAACACTAATGATAAAATACATACAGTATGATAGCTATTTTTATTAAGATTACAATGACACAATTTCTTGGATTTCCATAATATCTGTTGCTTCAGTATTAAAAAGAAGTACCGAAATCTATGAGGACATGTATGAGTGTGATTTATTCACTACTATGCCCATTCGACTTGCCATTGCTTCGAGGACTTTTGCTTCCCTAGCCTCAGTTTGTTTTTGAAAACTCATTGTAAGCTGTATGCATTCTGGGTGGTGGCCAGAAAACTGACGACATTTCAATTCATAGTAAATGGCAAAAGTATTACCTCTTAAGAATTATTGGGGCAGTTGAGAAATAGTTAAAAAGTACATATTTATGGAGAAATGAAATTCATAATTCTTATGAATTGAAGTATCTATTTCTTTTTTTTAAAAAAACTAGTCTGTTTTAAAGTCTGAATTAGAAGATTTATCAGTCATTACTTTTTAGCAGAGACCTGTGATGTTGAAAATGGTTTAAGGCTTCCAGAAATGATGTTCCACATGTATCTCATGTATTAGTTACCTGAAATGCAGTGTTACTAGAAAAAAATTTTTGAATTTGTAGTAAATTGGTTCATCCAAGTTCGCAGTTTACTTTCACAACATAGGTGTGCAGACAGTTTGTTTAGATGTTTAATTTTCCCCCATCTGTTCTGTCAGGATTATTGATTGAACGGTAAGCCACTCCAGGGTACGCACAGCCTCCTTGTAATTGCTTGCCTTGGGAGCGTTGTGTGACCTGGCCACCAAATGGGAAGAGGTGTCCCTTCTGCCTCCCAGTCAACTCTTAATTGGTAAAAGAATACTGGGATGAACATATTTTTGAAAATGATTTGTTGACCAGATAAATATTTATATTCAGAACATTGATTGATATTTTAAAGTATGTAGTTTCTTATTTAATATTATTCTTTGAAATTAATCACTGTTTTAGAGCCTATTTATAGTGAGTTTTTTGTTTCTCTCACATTGTTGGTTTATAAATGGAAATGTCTTCATCAAAGGTTACTGAAATATTTACTATTAAGTAAGACTTACTGTGGCCTGTTTGAAACTTACATTTTGTTTTATCTGAAAGTAAATTGATTTCTGACTCCTGATAGGAGAATTGAAACTAAGCCCTTTTTTCCCTAGAGTTTGTGTGCTCTTTGAGTGTTTGTTTAGTTCTTTTGTCCTTTACCTGTTGGGCATTTGTGTTAAATGCAGGTATAAAGTATAGGTACATCCAAGATGGTAACATAGGAAAAGAAGGAGATGCCAGGTATCTGCATGCATAGCCACACTTTGGATGTCACTAGAAAGTCAGTAATGTTGATGTTTACGGGAGACGCGGACTAACTTATTGAGAGAAGTCTTTTATTGGATGATGTCTCCAGGAATATAATTGACCTGTAGAAATATACAAATTATATGTTGCAGTTTAATGGCCTTGGATTGTACTTTATCATTGTTGTCCTTCTTGTTTGTTTCTTTTTCTTTTTTTTTTTTTTACGGTACCAGGCATTGAACTCAGGCCCCTGAGCTTGCCAGACAAGCACTTATTCTACTGAGCTATCTCCTCGGCCCCACATGTCCTTCTTCTTTATATCACCACTTATTAGGGGCTTGCTGCTTAGCTCAGTTGTTTAACGCACCGAACTCAGGCACAGTGAACTGAGGTTCGATCCCCAGCTCCTCATGCCGTGCCAGACCCGCCCTTAAGGCAGCCTGAGCTAGCAAAAAAAAAAAAAAAAATGCTACATCACCACTTATTACACCCATGTCTCAGTCTTTACAGTAACCATGAGATAAATTAGCCTTTTTTGAGGGGATAAATGGTAAGAATCAAATTCATGTTAATAACTATATTTTATATGTTGCTGTAATTTTAGAAAAACAAGTGCTTTGAGTGAGGGAGAATTGACTTCCAAAAGTAGCATTATAAAAAAACACTGCTGAATTTAGAATAATTTGACTTTGGACTTCTAAAGTATTTCACAGTATTGTGTTTTGAAATCATTTAAACATAAGGAGAGAGAAAAAGGATATAGTGTGAATAGTGGACACACTTTGTATATTACACATCCACATGCAGAATATTGCATTGTATTTTTAGTTCTTGTGTGTGACTACAGGTGTTTGGAGGTAGGAGTTGAACAAAATTTTTTTTTTTCTTTTTAATTGATAGCAAAATCCTCCAAGTAGAGAGGGCAACTGAGTTGTTAGAATACGTTTACATGTCAGTAAGATAATACAGTACATCAGTATTGTTCACTACAAAGTGATACTGCGAACAGTTCTAATTATAGCATTGCACATCAGTATGTCAATTAAGGCACGTATGCTGAGAAGCAAAACCATTTTGAGAAGCAGTGTTCATTTTATAAAGTGAATACAATATATTTTATCAAGCAGATTTTTAAACAATAGTTTTATTTTTCAGTTGTGTTTTTCTCATCAAAAATGAAAAAGAAAGCCTCTTTTTATGTACTCACTTTCCCTTCTGGCTGCAAACCAGGTATTTAAACAAAAATAAAGGATTGCCAGTTTTGCCAGCTGGGGATGAGAACCCGGCTGGTGAAATGTGGGTTCGGGAGGCAGTTAATCCAGCTTTTATGCTTTTTATGGTTTTATGAAAAAAGAGGTTAAAAACCGCATTTGGCTCCTTTTCATGTGTGCCACTGTTTTGTTGGTGTTACAGGCATTCAGATAAAGATTAGTCAGACCTTTTCTTTTTTGCTATTAGGTAAAAAACTATCGATTAGATAATGGCCCACAAATAGTGCATTCTACTAATTGGCCTTGGCCAAATCCCTCAATCACTGAAATCACTGGTCCTTTAAGATGACATATGTAGTATTTTTTAAACGTAAGAATATGGTTAAAATGACCCATACTTCTTTAGGTTATCTGGGTTTTTATTTGTTTTTGTGTTATTATATACAAATTGAAAATTGAAATATTTTTGACCATTGATAAAAGCTAGAATTTGTTATCTTCCAGAAAGTATTTTCTTTAGTTAGTGCTTAACAAAAGATTACTGGAAAAACAACAATTGGACTTGCTGTGATTTACCATTGCAGTTCCTAGGCTTTTTTTGGCCCTGAAACAAACACTGATACTGTTGAATTAAAAATCTTTCATAGGGTTGTATCAATAGATCTTTAAGTAACATAGATTTTTTTTTTTGGAAATTTGATTCGGTTTTAAAATCTTCTGTCCACCAAAGTACTTTTCATAGTATTTATAGATAACCATACTGTAACTGTCAAATATATCACCTGTATCTCTGTGAAATTACTGGTAAATTTTAAGTAGCAGTCAATGGCATAATCTTCCACAAAGTGTTTAACCAAGGAAGTTTGGAACATTACAACTTTGTTCCTAAAAAATTTTCTATTGTATCATGTTATATAGGTTTTTTTAATTGATAAAATTTATGTCTGTGGATTTTTTTAAATGAGATTTTCCAAACCGTGAGAGAATTAAATAAAGTGAGCTTTAAGATTGTTCAAATAGTTATTTAAAATAAAATATTGGAATTTGCATATAGATGAGGAGTATCCCATGGAATGAGAAACCAAGTTTTATATATAGCCATGTTATAATTTAAACAGGTTGCTCCAGCATAACCAATTTCATACCTTTTTTTCACTGTATTTATTTTGTATCCAGTGTATCTTGGGAATCAAAAAGGCTTACACCAGTCCATGGTTTTTGTTATTTTTAATAAAAATTTAGTGAGTCACTTAGACTTTGGATACTAAAGTTTACTACAAACCAAGCAGTAAAGAAGGCTTATATTTATTTTATTAATCATTTTTCTGAGTTTAAAGATACTGAGATCCTAGGAAGTTTTCAAATTTTTTTGTTACTTTTTTCACTGATTTATATTAAAGCTGTTTTGTTGTTTTCTACTTAGGCCTTAAAGCAAAGTTGTGTAAGGTACTTCACATGGCCCATAGTCACCACGGTGCAGCTTTAAAATTGTAAGAGTTGGGCTGCAGACTTAGCTCAGCAGCACAGGGCCTGCCTGGTAAGTGCAGGGTCCTGCGATAGATTGCCAATACACACACACCCCCCAAAAAAGAAAAAATGGTTGAAGTCCACATTACTGGGCTCAGAATGAAAAGTTAAGTAGATCTAAGAGAAAAATACGCAGATATACTGACACCTTTAATTTTATACTCATTTTTTAAACATGGGCCATTTATGGATGTATGTTGAGTGTTCCACATACTTTGTGTGATTGGTACCTTTTGTAGGATACTTCATAGTTTTAAGGTTAAGATCTCAGAATAGACTATGGGCTTTTGAATTGGGAGGCATTTATTATGTAAACCTTTATATCTTATGAATAGAGCTTTAAACTTAATGTGTAATGCTGGATTGTTGTGCTGATTTCATCTTAGGTGTTAGAAGACAACGACTATGGCCGAGCAGTGGACTGGTGGGGCCTGGGGGTCGTCATGTATGAGATGATGTGCGGGAGGCTGCCCTTCTACAACCAGGACCACGAGAAGCTTTTTGAGCTAATACTAATGGAAGACATTAAATTCCCACGAACACTCTCTTCAGATGCAAAATCCTTGCTTTCAGGGCTCTTGATAAAGGATCCAAATAAACGGTAAGCCTCAAGAAGCACTTGGTGACTGGGGATGTGGCTTTACGTTCGGATACGGAATTAGTTCAGCTGCAACTCCAAGAAAGAATGTGCCTCTTCCTTCCTCTCACTGAGCACACTAACTTACTTTAACTGCATAATATAGAACAATTAACAGTTCTTATCCACTGTTTTCCTGATTTGGAAATTTCATGCAGATTTAACAAGTAAGGATATTGATAGCTTTGTTCCAAGGGAGCAGTTTCTTCTTCACCAGCTGCCTGGCCTTGTGGGCATGGGAGAAGCCTGTGGTGTTTTGCAGTTCAGGCATTTATGTTTCTGCTGATTTATGTTGTGGAAAGAATGGCCTGTTTCTTTTCCTTCCTCTAACCCCTAAGTATGATGATGCTTTTTTTTTTTTTTTTGTCACTTGAAAATAATATTCTTTTTTCCATGCATAACTGAAAGAGGTATTGACAACAAACAGACAAACAAAAGAACCCAATTTGTTAAAAAAAAAAACCTTTTACGTACTATATTTCTTTTTGTAAGTACAGCTGTGCCCTAGAGTCCTACAGCCTTGCTGCTTTGCTCGGTGAGCCTCAGTATTTGCTGTTCATGTTCATGTATTCATTTATATATATACTATTACTAGTACTATAGGATTAGAAAATTATTTGACTGGTACTAATTTTTCAATGTTCCTTATTATCTGTCCTTATATATGGATATGTGGACCCTCCCATTTCTCAGCATCTATATATTTCTCTGAAAGTCATCTATGAATTTCTTTGAAATGCTCTTGAATCTTAAGCATCTGGAAGATAGATGTTTTCATGTGTTGTTGAATTGGCCATAACTCCTCACAGTGTTGTGTTACGATGTTTGTTTATGACTGATGGCCAGTGGGTACTTATGGATAGGTTGAGTCAACAAGTGAAGGAGCAAATGAATCCTGAAATACAAGCTGTATGTACTTTTTTTTTTGGCGGCACTGGGGATTGAACTCAGACCCTTGCGCTTGCCAGGGAAGCGCTTATTCTACTGAGCCTTCTCCCTGGCCCCATGTATGTACTTTAGAAATGCTTTATTGCATGTTTCTAGCCTTTAAATTTATAAAGAATGTGACTGTACCTTCAGCAGAGTTAAACATAGTAACAGAGATACCATCTTTTTGTTTTGTGGGAAGCCATTCAAAAAAGGTGTTTGGTAATCCTAGCAGCTCAGGTGCGGCCTTGTATTTGTAAAATGATTTTGGTTTCTTTCTCAGGACACGTTCACGTCTTTGATCTTTGTGTTTTCAAAAGCCTTGTGCAGCAGAGAGAGCAGATACTGTTCACGTTTCTGTTTGATTGAGTGGGGGATAAAGACCTGGAGAGAGATTAAGTGACAGCCCAGGTCTCAGAGAAAGTTTGGGAGGAACAAGAGTAGAAGCGCCTTTCTTGCTACCTATTTGCTCTCTCTGTGCATCTTATTTACAGTGCATTAATTTCATTCAGGTTTTGAAATATGTTCTGTTTAATCTGCTTAGGTAACCCATGTCTGTCATTTTACCTACTTGATTTAGGGTCTAATATTGGGCTTCATCTCAGGGTAGTGAGTTTTTATCCCATCCCTTTCTGACTCCTACAGGCAGCTGTGGTCTCCTTTTCCATTCTTGCCCCCTTTTCGAACGACTGGTAGGTCAGAATTGATTTTCGTGTCTGTGTCCCTTTCCTTTGTTTGCTGTTCCCCAAGCCTACCTCATACATAGCACTAGCACATTAGGAACCACTGAGTAAGTGGGAGGGGAATTTCTAGAATATTACTGGCCTGGTGTATATCTCCACTCAGAGGTTAGTGGTGTTCTAAAGAAAAGGTGTGGCATTCTCAATCATCTGATACTTTTTTTGAAAATGAATATGTCAATCCCTTTACCACTGAAGTAAAGTATAGGGAAAACAAGGGAGAACAAGATATGTAAGTCTGTGCTCTAGAAATGCACAGAGTAATGAGGAACACAAAGCACATATTGATAGATGTTCAGGCCAAACTATGTGCACATTGCCGTTGAAATTATTGTCTTTGTCTAGGGTTCTCTGCTGGAGAACCTGAGCTGGCGCATGTAGGAGTTGCAGTTTTTCAGTGGCATTCAAGCAGAGAAATTTACATGTACAGTACAGCTAGAACTGCAGATGCACAAGGCATTTGAGAAGTTCAGTGACTAGAGTGCAGAATATGAGTTGGGTAACATTGGGAGATGAAGCTGATATGTTAGATTATAAGGACCTTGTGCTTCTTAGACAATATTTAATCTTTATTCAGGAAAGGAATGAGAAGCCACATTAAAATGAGAGTTTAAAATAGGAGACAGTAACCAGATCTGTCTTATATAAAGATAATTCTGGCAGCATTATGGTGGATGATCTAGAGAGTTAGGGCCAGAAGACCATAGTTAAGCATGCTGCTGGAATTGTCTGGATAAGACATGGGTCCTTCCGGAAGCTCTGGTGAAGAGCAATGAGCAGTGCTTCGTGAATGACTAAAGAGAAATTATGAGGAAGGAGGTGGAGTTAGGCTGCCTCAGAGCAGTCCAGCTAGAGTTCAGTGGGCTATTATTAGTAGGCAGTGGGAGCACAGGAAGAGGTTCATTGGGGTTGGGGTTGATAGTAACTTTTAATATGCCAAGTTGGAGATTTCTATGAAAAACACAGTTGGAAATGTCAGACAGTTCAAAATGACACAGCTTTGCTTAAGAGAAACATAGTAACTGAATATATGAATTTTAGGACCTTGAAAATCTTAGAGGTAGCTGGACACAAGAAAATAGTAGAGAAGATAAGAGTGTGTGGAAAGGAGGGCCTAGGTCAGAGACCTGGGAAGCAGAAGTTTAGAGGTAGAAAGAAGAGGAAGCCAACAAAGGTCTCTGAAAAGTCTATGGAAACATAATTAGAGACAGTATAATAGTACGCTTCTTTATTTTTCCTATTCATCTACCTTAAATACTGCCTGAAGTTTTTAGTATTCTTCACTGCACTGCTGTCAATTAAAGGGTCAGCTATCATTTTGCTTATTCTTAAATCCATTACTTTATGATTCCATCCCCCCGCCCCCGCATCTTCCAACATAGAGTTTATATGAAAAGCATGACCTCATGTTGCATTCAGTACACTAAGAAGAGAGTTCTGGGGTGTCTCTAATAGTGAAGAATCCAATGGAACGGTGACCCATGCCTCTAAGCCCCCCACACTCTGGGAGGCCAAGGAAGGAGGATTGCAGATTCAGTGTGGGCAAATTACTTGTCTCAAAATAAAAATAAAATATTCTGGGGATATAGCTCAATGAAAAGGCCCTTGGTTCAATAACCTGTGCTACCAAAAACAAAACAGAATAAAAATCATATTGGCCTTTAGTAGTCATAGATATAAATAACTCAGTTCAAGAACATTTTAAAGTCCCAACTTCATATTGGAGCACCATTGACGTGGAAATTTTTGACAGTTTCACACTTTGAGGAAGCATGTGTTAGCGAATGTCTCTCAGTTTCTAAAGTGGCAATCAAAGATTATAATCTTAGGCTTTGCATCGTAATTATGGATGGCACTTTGAATCTGTTTGATAAATATAGTGGCTATATCCAGAGCCGAAGTATTGGTGAAGTACTGTCGTTTCAAATGAAAATGAAGAACTGAACCTGGATTAGTCCAGAAATCTCAAAAGCTTAATCTTTTATCTATTAAATGATTAGGATTCTCTCATTCCAAGCATCAGGTATGCTTCCCATGCAGGCGCAGTACCGGCTATCAGCCATAGAGCTGTGAATAGTAAAACTGTAACCTAAGTGTAAAATAGTAGGAAAGATTTTGATTCTTTTTTCATCCAGGCCACTTTGATTCCTGCTTTGAAATGTTAGATTCTTTTTAGAAACATGTATTTAGGTGTTTCTGCTTTTCCAGTTCCCTCCACAGCAGCTTAGAATCATTGTAGACGATCTGTTACTGCCTCCACACTCCCCACACTCCAGGGCTTGCAGGCTCCTGTGGCGAGAAGAGCACAGCTTGAAATAGGGTGGAAAATAGTAAGGGTGGCCGCCAGAACACTCAGCATTAACTACGTACAGGTCGGCGGGCTGAAGGTTCCGTGCGTGAACGCCACTGTTAACGATCTGAGCCAATATGAAAAGCCTAGCTCTGGTATGCAGTTCATTTAAAGAATTCTGTGTAGAACTGAGAGTAGGAGGTGTGCCCCTCGAATTACATATCACCAAGATACTCAGGTATCAGCTGGCTGCTTATTTCTGATCCTGACTGGGTGCCAAAGCATCCTAGAGTTGTGTTTCTTATGTGTGATAGCCAGAATTCATCACAGTGTGTAATTACTTGCTTTTGATGACTGATTTGATCATCTTCCTACCAAGTGGTGTTAGAGTTAGTAACTAGTTGTGAGATATTTAAAAAATTTGTTAGCCAATTGCTTAATACAAGTCATTGTAAAAAAAGTTGTATAACTATAACATCCATCAACACAATGGATTCCTACTTCAGCTTTCACCATACTGCTGCTAATAAAAGTCTAGAAGCTCATGGCCACCACGTGAGCACCTCCTCTAATTGTAGAGGCCAAAGGTAGTGTATTAAATTTTATGATATCTCAGTAAAATTAGTATTAAAATACAAGTTTATGAAGTTATTTTGTTTTTTTATACAAGTTCTTATTTTCCTGATGTGGACATTTTGGAGGGCAGACTCTGTATACAAAGTAAATCATCACTACAAAAGTAAAGGTAATAAATACTCAAAGCTCAGCACTTCCTAATGCTTTTGTTACATGTTACTATTATCTAGGTTCTTGAGGTTATAGCTCTACAAAATAATATGTAATTACAGATAAGCTGCTATGATTGCTTACATTTGACAATCACAGGAGAATTTACGTGCCAAAACCGGTCAGTGCTACACAATTGAGTTTGATTTCTTATTTGGTTGTGTAGACTTAAGAAGGTGATGGAGAAATAGCTGTTAAAAGAAAATGTGGTATAGACTCTCCCCAGCTACAAAGAAGTACAAATTTCAAGGTTTTTGTAGAAAGTTGCATACACCTTGAGGTCATAGTGTCATGTGAGTGAAACGAACCAGCCACAGATGTTTCCGTGTCATATGGTTTCTCTTATGTGAGAAACCCTGAAGTGTAGTACATCAGAAGGAAAAGATGACCCAAAATGCACTCTAGGCTTCTGTGCGGTTGAGGGTGGGAAGGGAATCTAATGACAGAAGGGAAGGGAGTGGAAGTGGAAAGGATTAAGATGTGCTCTGTATACGCACCAGCTCCCTTCAACCAGTGTGTTCATTATGTATGACAGGCATACTGTAATAAAACAGAAAAAGGAATGGTTCATGACAAAAAGTAAGTCCTGGAGGAAGTATTAAGAGGGCATATTAAACTTAGAAGCATGTTTCATATGCATCTATTACATTGCAAATGGCACGAAAAGTAGATTAAATATTCTTCTACTGTTCCAGCACACAGTTTCTAACCATGAGTAAGACCAAAGAAAGTATGATACCCTAAATTCAGATTTTTTCCCCCTTTTCCCTTCTGCTCTCTTTCCTCTTGCTTTTCTGTTTTTCCTTAGTGTCTAATATACCTTATATTAGAAAACACCTGAATTTCAATTTGTTCAAGTAAATAAGAATATTGTCAAAAATAGGAAGAGAGAATTTTTTAAATTTTTAATTAAAATTGCAGAGCAAAGTTGTGCACTAAGAATGATGTTTCTGTGGCGTTCTTCTGTGATATGAAAATCGTTTGTTTATAACATTACTTCACAAACTGTTTTCCAGTGAACTTTATTTCATAATTTATATTCACTAAGGTTCCTTTTGACTTGAGTCATTTGAAGGCGGAAACTAATGTAGAGAACTGACAATGAGAACAAATAGCATTATCTGCCAGGTGCTGCCTGCACTCTCTGACCCTTGCAAACCTAATGCAGCAGTGTTGGTGCAGTTCCGGCTCCGAAGCACCGAAGTGCTTACTCCCTTCAAGTCTGTCTGCACAGTCGCAGCTCTTCTATTTGTTTGAAGCTAATTATTAATAATTCATTTGAAAAATTAGATCCTGCAGCAAAAGCCTTTTATTTTAACGGTAGTTTACTCTAAGAACTATTTGTTACTCATCAAATTACACTTTCACTAAAAAATTAATGTATTGTTTTGATATAAACATTTTGTGCTCATTTAATTTTATTTCTGTCCTCATAGCCTTGGTGGAGGGCCAGATGATGCAAAAGAAATTATGAGACACAGTTTCTTCTCTGGAGTAAACTGGCAAGATGTATATGATAAAAAGGTAGGACATGTTTGTAGCATTGTATGTATGTAAGTGTATTTTAACTACTCTGCTAAAAGGAAGATATAGCCAGAAACCAAGTGAATAAGTTTAATGATGTAATGACATTTTTCATTTTACTGTGATATTTAGATGATTGTTGAATCTCTTAGTCCAAAGTTTTATGTGTGATTTGTATTTCCCAAGTGCCTTTTGAAATTTTATTGTTTTCAAAGGATTAATTTATCTCTCCCCCCCCCCCCCCGTTTAGTAATTTGGTAGTTTGCCTCCCATTATATTTTACTAAAAAAAAAAACCTAAAATACATCAATGTTACATTTTTTTCCAAAGAACTAGCAAAAAATTATAACCTTGAGAATTTTTATTGTAGAGTGAAGACTTCATGCCAATCCTTATTTTGAAAATTTAAAGAAATATAGTTTTTATATTTAAAAAGTAATACCTTGAGTACCTTAGACCTCTAATTTGAAATAGAACCTTATTATCTACAAAAGGGATGCTACCAGTTATATCTTTATCATAATGTTACTGTTCTTAATTTAAACAATAAGATTTATTCTTGAATTTATGCTAGTGATTATACTTGAGTTTAGAAACATGAGATCATTGTGCTTCTTCTATCTTTTTTATATTTTTTGGTACTTCATATATTGTTGGTAGCAATAGTAATTTTGATGTTTTGATTTTTAAATAGTTATACAAAACTTTTATTATGAAAATTTCAGTAATTCATTTATTAGAATTTTTATGTTATTATTTTTGTTAGTCTATCTATTTGAGTTATTCCAGCTTTTCTTAATATTCCTTTTTTGACACATCAATCTACATTTTTGGGGGTTTGTTTTATACTAGGTATTCTTAGCTCCTTAAATAAAGATGGAGTGCTGTGAGAGTGGTGAGGAACACACCTCATGTATTTCATGTTTGCATTATGTTGTGCTGATAAGGTATATAGCTGATTTTATACCCATTTCTTACAACTAAACATTTAAAATATTCAAATATTCAAAGCTTCAAGTCAACCATACTCTCCTATTTTGAGTTTCTGTCTTGTGTTAAGGTGCCGTGGTATTACTTCACAGCTCTAATGAGATCATAAGCTCTCATGAGGATCATGTGACTAGTATTAGATGTCCTAAATGTTTATTAATGACATACAAACTGTCTAACATTCAGCTCATCTCATTGTTTGTGGTCTGTGTGACATGAATGCATGTGTGAGAAAATTCATGAGCTGTCAGTATACTATAAAGGGACCTGGGAAAGGTCAAGATCTTACTGTGTCTCCAAAAATAATGCCCGGCCAGAGTGAAAGAAGGAACATGTATTTAGTAGATAGTGATTCCAGTGTCAGTGTGGTGCTGCTAACTTAAGGGGCAAAACATGGACCTTTTCAGTCCTCCTATGAAACTAAGATACACGGTGGTGGTTTCCTTAGTGCCGTCCAGCTTTTCATGGTACATGATAGTTTGGCTTTATCTGGAGAAAAAAGTCTTGAGCATGACCCAGCATACCAGTGAAGAAGCAGGGCTTGCCTTGGCCCTGACCTCTGGGCTAGACATGCCCCACCTAGGCAGCCACCTGGTACGGACAGAGAGAGTCAGCAAGCCTGGCCCGGAGACAGAGACATACCCGCCAGTTAGGTATGTAGAGGACTCAGTGTAGATTGTTTTAAATTTAAAAATATATTGTAGATACCACTTAATTGGAGCAAAAGCGTAAAAATGTCTTTTGTTTCTTTTCCCTTTTTTTTTTTTTTTTCTTTCTTTTTTGATTGTTTGTTTTTCATGGTGCCAGACGTTGAACCTGGGCCTCATACATGGCAGGCAGGCGTTCTATCACTCAGCTCTCCCTCAGCTCTAAAAGTATCTTGCACAAAGAAACACAGTCCCAAAAACGGCCCAGCGTCCATGAACAGTAGACTCGCCCAGGGCTTGCTGCCACCAGTTTACTCGAGGTGTCCTGGTCTTCAGATGAGGGCGGCACCGACCCTTACTCTCTCCGGAAGATCAGTCTCTTCTTAGCAGGGCCCTCATGTTTGAGTCTCTTTTTCAAAAACTATGAAAATGTAATTTGTTCTAGCAGGTTTGTATCATGGAATAAAAATTAAGAAATTAATTGAAAGAACCAATCTGCCACTGGTAGAATTCAGTTAAAATGTCCATTCTTTGGGCGGTATAGATTATAAAGTAACTTATGAAACTGAACATTTTTATGGGTCCCTTATATATTTAAAGTGCGTAATTTATTCATAAGTAGTTGATCTCTAAAATCAGAGATTTTATTACTTTTATTAAGTATTGGGAGATTTATTCTTTTCACTGATTTATTGCATGATTATTGACCATTTTTCTAAAAGTTGTGGCAAATCTAAAAATAAAGACATACCAAGTTGCTGGTATCTCTGGGGTGATCTAAATCTCTGGAGGCAAAAATGGGGAAAAAAAGTGAGTTAGCATTAATTACAGGGAGTGTGACCACCGTGCCCAGAGCACCAGCCTAGAATCTCGGCCCCACTTCTGGGCTCACATGGAATAGTGGGGTCGTTTTCGCGCCGCCAGGCTTTACAATTCTCTTGCAGCAGATTCTGTTAATATGCATTAATCTAGGTGAGTTTCTGAATAGACCCATAGATTTTATGCTCAGTTTGTCAACATGCTAGGATTTTTTGGTGAGGTTCTGTTAAATCTTATAATTTAACAATGAGCTTTCAGATTTATGAATACAGTGTATCTCTTCAAGTTTTTAGGAGGTTTTTAATTCCTCTCAGGAATGTTTTATAATTTTCAGTGATTAGGTCTTATATGTATTTTGTTAGACATGTCATTAAGTAGGTATTTTAAACTTTTATTTTCATTTTGCTGCCAGTATAAGAAATAACAATTGATTTTTTTGTATCGATTTGTGTTCTGTAAATTTGCAAAACTCAGTTCCTAATTGTAGCATCTTTAGGTAGATTTTCTTTGATTCTGTTCAGAAATGATCATAATCTTACATAAATAAAATGTTTGCTTATTTCAAATCTTTATGCATTTTGTTCTTCTTTGCCTTACTATATCAGCTAGGACTTTGACTATAGTATTGAATAGAAGAGGTAAAAGTGGACATTCTGACTTTGTTTCTAAACATGTTTTTCCACTAAACTCAATGTGAAGTATGATGCTAATGGCATTAAGGGAAAACAAAGAACTCCATAAAGAAATTGGTAATGGTAGCTTAGCTAATGAACTAAAGTAATTCATGAGCTCATCTAGCAGCCAGACACAGGTTTCTAGATCTCATGTGCCAGTAAAAGGTACCCAAGCTCTTCGCTGCAATAATTGATCTGGGGGCTTGTATAGAAAAAATAAAAGATAAGCTAGAGGTATTTTGTGGTGTCAGAAAGTTCAGGAGAGCTCTTCTAAAAAGTCAGAAAGGAGTCAGCCCTGGGGCAAAAAGTGAACCAATTTTAGTAACAAAGCACAGTATTAGATAAAGATCTAAAGAATAAAATAAATACCCATGAGCCCATACTTCATAAATAAATGATCGAAAAAAGGAATATTGAGAAAAGGCATGCCTTTCTTACAGGTAAATTCAAGTTAATAGAGGTAGAAGGGGTGAGAGAAATAGAAAATCTTCCACCAGACATTAGTGTAAAGGGTGCTGCATACAGGACCTGCCCACGGGTAAGGCTAGCACGCAGTGAATGGGTGAGGCTTTCTCCAGGAGCATGAGGTCCACTCACATTCCATCAATGGAAAATTGTATGATTACGTTAATTCATCAAAAGAGAAAAACCATATGATTGTTGCAATAAATGCAGAAAATGCTTTTAATTTATGATTGAAAATTCAGTAAACCAGAAAATAGAGGAAAAAAAATATAAAAGTTGGTTCTTTAGAACAAAACTTATTCATGAACACATTTAGATTTGATTATATTTTCTTGATAAAGTTACCTGTTTATTATGATGATGCATTCTCTATATTCATGGCAGTAATTGTTATTCCCAAAATCTTTGTCTGATATTGACATAAGTAACCTCATTTGGCAGTGGGTGCTGGGAATCAAACTCAAGACCTCTTGCTTGCTAGGCAGGTGCTGTACTGCTGAGCTATGTTCCCAGTCCAAGGACAGTTTTTAAAAAATTTTGTATAATACATTTTTCTCATCATTTGAAGTTTTTAGACACCATGTTGTCTTATTCAGATAATAAACTATTTTAATGAAATATATATAGCCAGTTAATCATCTTGTTGCTTTTATCATTTTTCTTGTCTACACTTTTATGATATATTGAGAATTTTTGTGATTTCACTTTGTCTTACAAGCTGTGAATCTTTACTTTGAGATTGTGTTTAGAGTTTACAATACAGATATTTAAATGAACACAATCTACTTACCCATATCACATACCACAGAATAATTCTGTTCCCTCTTCCATTTTTTATTAAAAGTTTTTTTTATGTCATTTAAAAATTTTTCACAAGTTAGCATCACAATGCATAGTAATTATATTCTGATGTAAATGATTATATTTTAAGGTGACTGAAATTATTGCTTATTTATCATTTTAAGTATCTTTTGTACAAGTCCTTTATATAGATCTGTTCTTCCAGTAGATTTTTTCCTTCCTTCTCCTGTATTCTTTTTTCTTAGTCTTTATGCAAAGTCTAATTTAGCTCTACTTCTCAGGCATGAACTTTCTGGGTTTGGAAAGATGTGTAGAAAACAAAAATACATTTGGAGGAAGTATAGGATGGGAAATAATGGAAATGTGACATTTAGGAAGGGGAGAACAATATGAGAAGAGTGGAGCAGCGAAGTGAAGTGCGTGGAGAGGCTGCGTGAGGAGCCAGCAAGCCATGGAGAATGGAAACAGTGTGGCGCGGGAGGGTGGCTGTGGATGGCCTGCGCGCAGGAGGGTGGCTGTGGATGGCCTGCGTCTGCCTAAGAGGTGGGGCTGCTCCTGGGTTTGCCTATGCACTTGCCTGAATCCTGAAGCAAGGACGCGGCTT